AATTCACTTTAAAATGCATTAATTCATCTGGCCCTCTAAATTTAAAAGAAATCTCATTTGAAGCAGACTTCCCATTTTTAGAACGGTAAGAAATAGCATCCACTGCCAAACTGTAGTTGAAGGGATTCACTTGTAAGTATTGGACAAAGGTAGATAGATGATAGATAGATAGATAGATAGATAGATAGATAGATAGATAGATAGATAGATAGATAGATAGATGACAGATGATAGATGATGCAGAGGAATAGATTATAGATAGACAAACAGATAAATGAAGGGATGGAGGGAGATAGGATGGGAAGGGAGGGATAGGGAGATTGATCAATCAATCGATCGATCGATAGATGATAGATAGATGATAGATAGATAAATGATAGATAATAGTTGATAGATAGTTGATAGATAGATAGTTGATAGATAGATGATAGATAGATAGATGATAGATAGATAGATGATAGATAAATGACAGATGATAGATGATGGAGAGGAATAGATTATAGATAGACAAACAGATAGATGAAGGGATGGAGGGAGATAGGATGGGAAGGGAGGGATAGGGAGATAGATCGATAGATCGATATACAGATCGATATACAGATCAATATGCAGATCGATATACAGATCGATATGGATAAATAGAGGGATAGATGATAGATAGACAGAGATGAAGGGATGGAGGGATAGATAGATAGACAGATAGATGATGGAGGAATGGAGGGATAAATAGGGATGAGAGATGAGGAGGGAGGGATAGATAGATAATAAGTAGATAGATAACAAGACAACTTTTAACAGGCTGACTATCTCAACTTGGTGATACCTTTGGCTAAAAGATACATAAAAACCCCTTTATTTTCTATACATCTCTCGCCAACGTATGCTTCCTCCTGCCACTTTCCAAACCGTACACATTTCCGAAGCCATTTATCAGATTTCCTCCCGCCACACCCCTTTCAAGCAGACCCCTTCAGAATCTTTTGTGTATGTGTGTGTGCGATCGGCTCCACGCCCACCCCAGTCACACCTTGTGACCGACTTCGGAGGGCTCTTCCCCTCCCCAGACAGGGTGGAGGGGAATCATCTGGAAGAACTTCCCTTGGCTTGAGACATGTCATTAGTCGGCCGTCGTGTTCTACATTCTGCTTGATGTCATTAAGCATGAGAAAAACTTTCTCCGCTCCAATAACTTTCCATCACAGAGGGGGGGGGGAGGGGGGGGGGGAGAGAGAGACAAAGCTGTAACGAAGCAAGTCGGATTTCCATGTTCGTTAGTTTTTAGCCCGCTCAGCAGGCCTAAAACGAAAATCCAGACACTTGCTTTCCAAACACATTATCCGTAGGGCAAACCGGCTGTTTCCCGGTCTGTTACACACAGCCAATTAATTATTTTTGGCTTTCGTCAAATTGTTTTTGGCTTTCATCCAACCTTCTGCCCCAACCTCTCTCTCTCTCTCTCCCCTTGTCTCCCCCTTTTCTCATTTTGAGGCTATATATTTGCTAAAGACTCATGTCCAGACTGCTGGGAGCTGTTGATTCGCAATGATATCCCGTTGGTTAATGTTCTCCCAACCATTTGATCTTTGTGTGAAAGTTTGCCCCGAACAAATCTGGGTCTCCAGGCATGGAGTTATTATGCTCCCTATCTTTCTAACCATTAACCCACCAACATGGACAGGGCAAGCCACTTGTAGAGCAAGAGCATACCAACCCAACTCTCTTCTAGCACTGATGATGTTTCCTAGTTGGGTTGTGAAATGTCTGCAAGGAAACAACCAAGCTCAAAGAGCACCAAGGACTCCACAGCTCTCCTCCTCCTCCTTCTCCTCCTCCTCCTCCTCCTCCTCCTCCTCCTCCTCCTCCTCCTCCTCCTCCTCCTCCTCCTCCTTTCTAGCACTGATAATTGGGTCATGAAACATCTGCAAGGAAACAATAGAGAGAACCAAGGACCCCACAATGCAGGAAAGTGTGAAAACAAGTGTGCTTTACTGTGCCAATGCAATTGACTTTGGTGGAGTGGGGGAGAGGAGTGGGAGGTGGAATGAACCCCATTTGGCCCTAAGCCTCCTCAAGGCACTGCTTGCTTGGGAGGAGGAGAGCTGTCCTGCGTGAGATATTTTTGGACGTGGGTCTGAGCTAGATGAGAAACCCTCGCCTCGCTTTTACTTAAATGTCCAAGAGAAAGCTAAAGCGGCTCTCCATCCTCTGATCCTCCCACAAGGATCCAGGAGAGAGGAATCTCGCGGATCCCTCGGAGAGTAGTTCCAAAAGAGATCCCTGGGCTACGACTCTTCCTTCGAGGAAAATTGTGCCAGTGCTGTGAGCCAGTCGTGGGATTCAATTTTTTTTTACTACCAGTTCTGTGGGTGTGGCTTGGGGTGGGCATGGCTTGGTGGGCATGCCAGGGGAAGCATACTGCAAAATCCCCCCACCCCACTGACCTGTTTTTCAGCTCCGTTCTCCTGTGTGGGGCAACCAAAGGAGACCCAGCTGATCATCTGGGACTCAATGGGAGGCGGAGAAGAGATGGGGTTGGCGGGACCAGTCAGAGGTGGGATTTGCCACTTCTCCGAACTACTCAAAATTTCTGCTACCGGTTCTCCAAAACTGGTCAGAACCTGCTGAATACCACCTCTGCTGTGGGCCTCATTCTTACAGGACTGGCACGCATCGGCGCCCTAGCAGTGCTTCCCCAGGCAAACACATTGATGAAACCTGTTGCGGGACCCCTCACCTTATATTTCTTCAGGAAGCCCTTTGACTCACAACCCAAGTCCAAAGACTTCCAAGTGTCTGGCAGCTGCAGCACCTTTTAGCCAATTAATGAAACAAGAAATGAATTATTTAATGCCATGTCAGCCCAAGTTAATTCCTTCTCACATAGATAGATATGTATATTTTTTAAAAAAAACAGGGAGTAACATGGAACAGACAGAGGAGGGTTCCCCCCCCCCTTTCTGGTTTGTGACATTGTAGAATGCTTGGAAGTCATGCATATGGATGATGTGCCTTGCTGAAATCCTTTAAAAAGAAAAGAAAAGGGCAGAGCTAGATAGCATTTGAAAGAACTTGCGTGTGAATATATTAGCCAGTGAGCCAACACAAGTGTGTGTGTGCTTGTTTCTTTATCATCTTATGGAGAGCTCTAGCTGCTTGGGAAGTGATAATATAACATCTGCGGAGTGCAGTTAATGACCATTTTCTATCTGCAATTCTTAAGAAACAAACACCTGTTATAAAAACCTTTGCTCCGATATCTTGGTTTAGCACAAAGTAAATGAAACCATTCCAAGAGCATGCTAAACTTAAGAAAGTTAGAAAAGGACTGGCTTCACGCTTTCTCAAAGTCATGTTTTTCGTGACCAGGGTTTAGTGAATAAATCATGTTTGGCTTGGTTCACCTATGCTTGTCCAAAATTCAAGGCGTTCAGCATCGTAAACCCCAAGCCAGATTGAAAGAGTCCCCTGTAGCTTTGCAGGGTGAGGCGGGTGGCATATAAATCTAACAACAGAGCAACATAAAACAATAACAACATAAAATAAAATTAAATTAAAACATTGGGACAAGCTAGGGTGCATTTGGCACTACAATGGAAAACATACGAGATTTGTCACTGTCTCAGTCTGAATGGACTATTATTCCAGTGAGGTTTTTTTTATGTGAGTTTGGACCATTCCCCAAATTTGAACAGGATGCAATGTTTGATCATTTATTTCTCCGGTTTATTATTTCCAAGATGGTATCACAGAGAAACAATGTGTACAATAAAGTCTTAAAACAAGGAATGTTTTCTTTGGGCAAAACATCAGCCAAAGGAAATGGAAGTAACCACATTTTACAAAAAGGAAACAAAAAGTTACCACATTTTAACAGTTTTCTTTTTTAGCACAGTAAATATTGATACATACAATCCATGTAAAAACAGTTTTTTTAGGGTCCTTTGTAATTCTTAAAAGTGGGAAGGGTTGCAGAGAGAAAAAAGTTTAAGAAACAGAGCATGTATTCAGAGTAGTTTTTTGCCAGTCCCTGCATAATCTTTCCCCCAAATTCTTCCATTGCAATTGTTTATTTTTGCGCCCATGTTTGTCCTCAAAATATACAACAGAATGATGTGTTTAAACTTTGTGTGGTCTAGTCTAATAAACATGGACTGCTTTCAAACATCAAAGTTTGAAAGTTTATTAGTTGAGCTTGAATGTGTCCCTTAGTTTGGAACTAACTAACTACATTATTGGCTCCACACAAACATATTAATCCTCCTGATTTTCATGCAGTTAGAACTATATTGCTTAATATTTATTCTGCATTTTATATTTATATACACATACATTTGTACGTATATAAAAATCTAATATACATACACAGATAACCAGAGTCGAATGCCTTTTTATATTTAAATTTATTGCCAAACTAGTTCAACCAGGAAATCTTTTTCATATATAAAATTGCTCAAGGTGGGGTTACAGCCTGGAAAGAAAAAGGCTGTGGACTACAATACCCATGATCCCATCCTCTTTCCATGTGGACTGAGATTGATGGGAACTGTAGTAGTCCAAAACAAGTGTTCTGCTTGGAACTCTGGGACAACAGCACCCTCCCCGCCCCCAATCCTCTTGGCAGAGCATCATGGTCATTGTAGTCCAATATCCCTTCCTTTGCAAGTGGAGGGAGGGAAAAGCCCTCTTCATGCACTGTGCCCAAACGGAAACTGCATTTCCCAGAATGCTCCTGCAACTGTCTAGCCACGTGACACCACTTTGGCCACGTGACTGGCCAAAGAACTCCCAGTCGAACTACTGAAAGAACACTTCCGGTCTCTGGACCAGTGCAATAGAGACGGCAAAGGGCTAGAGCGCCTCCTTCGCTTGGTTCGAGGAGGAACCCCTCGCTGGGACTACAATTCACATCATCCCCAGAGATACAGCGGTACAGGGTTCAGGTCCTTATGTTTTCCCGACCCACCGGTCAGTGAAGAAAGCTTAAAAGGCCCGCGAGTGTCCCCCGACCGAGGAAAGCACTTCATTCCCCACAATGCAACTCTCGCGCCTCGGTCTCGCGAGACTCGGGCGAGAGCCCCGCGGTTGGGCCGGTGTTCTCGTGGAGGAAGCCAGAAGCGCCTGGGAGTCGGGCCTGGACGGGTGACCGGGAGCCGGACGCAGCCGCAGCGGATCGACATGGCGGAGACGGATCCCAAGACCGTGCAGGACCTCACCGCCGTGGTGAGCGGCCTCGGCTGGGGGCGGAGAAGCGGGTCGCCGGGGAGCCTGACGGGCGGGGGGGGGGGGGGGGAGGGGGTGCCATGGGGGCGGGGGGGGGGCGGGGGCGGCGTGGCGAGGGAACTGGGCGCGGCCGTTGGGGTCGCCCTGGATACGGCGGGAGGCGACGCGCTGCGGGCTCGGTTGCCGTGGAAACGGAGGGGGGGATGCTGAAAAGAGCGTTTCCATTTAGCCTTCATACGACCAACTCGGGTTAAGAGCATTCCCGGGTTGGGAGAATGCGGCCCTTGCCTTCCTCCAAGGTTGTCCTAAGCCTGGGAGGGGGCTTCGAGGTGGCCTTTATTTTTTTATTTTTTTTGCCCCAGAGTTTGGGCCAGGCCTCCTGCCGCTTGCAAGGGGAAGCCATTGGGAACACTTAGAGCCACTTGCATTTTGTAATCTCTCTCTCTCTCTCTCTCTCTCTCTCTCTGTGTGTGTGTGTGTGTGTGTGTGTGAGAGAGAGTGAAGAAGGTACCTTGCTTAAAAACCAAATTATTATTATTTTCCCTACTCCCATCAGGTGCAGACCCTCCTGCAGCAAATGCAGGACAAGTTCCAGATTATGTCGGACCAAATCATTGGCAGGAATATCCTTTTGAGCGTGGAAATCAGAGGAAGACCCCAAGACCGGGAAGATTTTCGCCACGTGGTTTCCTTGGGCCAGACACCCCACCTGCCGCATGTGTGTGTGTGGGGGGGGGGGAGACCCCTCTGAAGAAAAGCCGCATCGCCCTGTGGCAATCGTATGGGAATAATATGATGCTTGTGCCCCTGTTTCATTCTGCCTCTCTTTTAAAAAACGTCCTCTCCAGTGTCAGGAGAGGATGTAAAGCCAGGGTCCCCGATTGCACTTTCCAAAGGTGCTGCCCAAAGTTTGTACAACTTTAGCAGTCAGTATGCAAATGTTGGACGTGGAGATTCTCAGTCCTCCAGGTCACGGTTGTTCCAAAGGTCTTTTTTTTTTTTTTCAAGAGACAACTGGACTTTCTGATTTTTCTTTGAAGTTGTTTCGCTTCTCATCCAAGAAGCTTCTTCAGCTCTGACTAGGATAGTGTGGAATGGAAAGATTGATGCTCCTTGCAGACAGCTGGTCATTTACATCCTTTTAGAGGGTCGTTGAGGCCACCTGGAAGTTTATCTGTGTCCTCGGGGTCACCAGAGTGATGTAATGGAAGTATAAATCCTTCTGTTCCACACCATCCAGTCGGAGCTGAGAAAACTTCTTGGATGAGAAGCGAAATGAAATGTCTTCAAAGCAAAACCAGAAAGTCCATTTGCCTCTTGGGGGGGAAAAAAGCATCTTTGGGACAAATGTTGGACACTTTCTCCCTTTAAATAATGCACATATATCAAAGAACCTTGCTATGTATGTAGAGGTGCTCCTTGCTTAACAATTGCAAATCTGTCATTAAGCAGGGTGGTCATTAAAAGTGTAAGGTCATGACCACACTGACTTTCAGTGTCACTTCTCCTTGTGGTTGTTAAGCAGATCACTGAGTGTCATTAAGCACAATGCCGTGTGGCTTGTGACTTCGTTCCGGGTTCCCCGTTGGCTCTTTAAAATGGCAATCGCGTGTTTGGGAAGGGGGATGCCGTGATCTAGAGTTGAAAGGGGGTTGCATTTCTCTAGTCCAAGGGTCTTCAAACTTGGCAAGTTTAAGACTTGTGGACTTCAACTCCCAAAATTCCTCAGCTAACATGACTGGAGGAGGAATTCTGGGAGTTGAAGTCCACAAGTCCCAAAGCTGTGAGGTTTGAAGCCCCCCCCCCCCCCCCGGTCTAGGTGGGATTTTTACTTAACTCGGGTTCACTTGATGACATGAGCTGCCGCATTGACGACCTGGAGAAGAACATTGCAGATCTCATGACCCAGGCCGGAGTGGAGGAACTGGAAGGAGGAGAAAACAAAGCGGCCACCACCAAGACTTCAAGTGAGCTTGATTCTGAAATAGCACTAGCACTTAGACTTATATGGCGCTTCTCAGTGTTTTACAGCCCTCTCTAAGCAGTTTTTACAGAGTCAGCAATGTTGCCCCCAACAATCTGGGTCCTCATTTTACCCACCTCGGAAGGATGGAAGGCTGAGTAAACTGAGCTGGTGAGGATCGAACTGCTGGCAGTGGGCAGAGTTAGTCTGCAATACTGCATTCTACTGCACCACCACGGCTCTTTATTAGTAAAAGCACTTAGACTTATATACCACTTCTCAGTGTTTTACAGCCCTCTCTAAGCAGTTTATAGAGTCAGCAATGTTGCCCCCAACAATCTGGGTCTTCATTTTACCGACCTTGGAAGGACGGAAGGACGAGTCAACCTTTGATGACTCACAAATGACTCGATGTTCCTGCAGATTAAATGGGGGTGAGATGACTGAGATGGCTCTCGGATGCTGGATTGGGATTACCAATCTTTGAAATTACTTTTCACCTACTTTTATAATTTATAATAAGCTGCCTGGACTCCCCTTTGTAGGGGAGATGGGCAGCACAGAAATTTAATAAATAAATAGGCTCTCAGCCTGCATGTGATAGAAGAAATAGTCCTCAACTTAACTGGTAAGTTATGACCAGGGGTCCCCAAACTTGGCAACTTTAAGACTTGTGGACTTCAACTCCCAGAATTCTCCAGCCAGCTATGCTAGAGAATTCTTTGGCCATCTATCCTCAGCCAACCGCTCTGCTGGCTGGAGAATTCTAGAAGTTGAAGTCCACAAGTCTTAAAGTTGCCAAGTTTGGAGACCTCTGGTTATGACAGACATAACTCCCTCCCCCAAAGCTACTTGCAACCTGGTTTCAAAGTTATGGAGTTGCCCTCTCCTCCCCTGTGGCCATATGACTGACTACATTTTGGGTACTCAACAATTGACCCTCATTTATGGCCGTTTGCATCACCTTGCAATGGGTTCATTTAAGGACGGTGGCGTTCGCTTAGCAACCATTGCAGAAAAGATTGTAATGACACATCCGGTCAGGACATAAGTTTCCAAGCCAGCCTCAATTACACTCGTAAATCAAGGGATTTCTTATTTGTTTTATTTGCTTATAAGAGGGGGGGGGGGAAATAGAGTTGTACACACTTAAAAGTGAACGTAAATTGGTCTAGTAATGTCAAGTACTGCCTGGGTTTTTAAAATGCCTGAATGAGGTAAGTATATCTTTTTAGGACTGTACAGAATGCAACCTTTTAAAATTTCACTTAGGAATGTGACTGGTTTTTCTTCTGACAATCTTTACTAATTGTTCTACCTTTCTCTCAACAGCCTGCCAATAATTTATGATGGCTACAGGAAAGGGACATTTTTACAAGCCTACACTGGTTTCCAGACACCATTTTTGGGGGGTTTTATTTTATTTTTCCAACGACTAGTGTGTAAAAGCAATTTTCTACTGCTGTAGAACTTGTGTTCTTGATGTACCTTGTATAACTAGATTTGGAACCATTTCTATTCTGACTTCTTGTGCATTGTGAGTTTCACATACTTTTTGGAATTGACGCATTCTATACTAATTTCAATTATTAAAACAATTTGATAGCTTGTTGGGTCAGCTACAGTGTTAACGCTATACAAGTGGACTTTTGTGAATTTGGATGTAAAAAAATGCTTCCTTTTCCTGGTTCCTTTTTTGTAATTCCCTTTACTTAATGGGTTGAAAGTGTTGTGCTTTCTGTCAGCCTATTTTGTGCACAAGGATGAAAATGTGTTGTGAGTCACCTACAGATCTTTTACTCTATTAGTAATAAGTTTAAAGTAGGAAACAATCCATTTTGGATCCCTTGAGCTGTAACTTCTTCGTTTTCAGTTATTGATTTGAGGAAGTTGATGATTGAAAAATTTAACAGTTAATCATTTTAAAATAAACTGTCAATAATATTGGCCTGGTAACAGGATTTTGTTATTGGGTGGGTACACCTTATAGTTCTAAGTATGGAGACCAGTTCCTTGGATTTATAATAAAATGCACATTTATTTTCAAGGATGACCAATAGAACTCTCTTCTTGGAGTGCCAGTTGCCCTTTACATCTTGGTAGTTGCAAAATGGCTGCTTAGGTCCATCTAATATTGAAGCTGTTTCAATGCCCGAAATGCGACTTTATAAAATCACGGCTGAAAATGCACTTTTGGTTCTGCAAGTGTCCCAACAAAATCTCCTTCTGATGGATTTAGAAATCGCTGCTGAAGAAGTCTAGTGTTTTAATCCAGAGTTTGATGGAATTGTGATAAGTGCGCAGCAATTGAGGTCGATCCGCTGGGGTTGCAACTCTTAACCTCAGGAAGATGTATAGCTTCAGCTCAAACATGGACAATGGTTGTAACCCTGCTAAAGTTCTCTCTCAAGTTACTCCGTGCGGCCTTCTTGCAGAAAAGTCCATGCTTGGAGTGCTAAACTGTTGAGGACATGAGCGGATTAGAGCATTATTGCCTAGCGCCTAAAGCTGCGGAGTAAACTTGCCACAGCTCAGAAGGATCCTCGCCTGGGTGTGTGTTCATTTCAAAAATAGGTTAGGAGCATTTAAAAAAACGAACGGTGGGTCCTTTGCTCCATTGTGTAGATCTCACTGGGGTGGTAGTAGATATTTTCCTTGATTGGGAACTCTGTTTCCTCCTTCCAAATTTGGGTCTTTGGCTCTTTTATGCCCCCTGGTGTGTGTGTTTGTTCCCTAGTACGCTGGCAGCAGCTGAACAAGAGAGTTTGCCGTATCTTGTGTTTAAGTCCACAAAAATAAGGAAAGGAAACTGTATCCCAAGAGAATAAAATAGGATTGGATAGGGAATGGAATAGAATGGAACGAAATAGAATAGAATAGAATATGGAATAGAATATGGAATGGAATGGAACAGAACAGAACAACAGAACAGAATAGGATAGGATAGAATAAAATAGAATGGAATAACAGAGTTGGAAGGGACCTTGGAGGTCTTCTAGTCCAACCCCCTGCTTAAGCAGGAAACCCTACACCACTTCAGACAAATGGTTATCCCATCTCTTCTTAAAAACTTCCAGTGTTGGAGCACCCACAATTTCAGGAGACAAGTTGTTCCACTGATTAATTGTTCTAACTGTCAAGAAATTTCTCCTTAGTTCTAGGCTGCTTGTAGGTTCCTTGATTCCTGTTCCTTTAATAGGTATTTATGGATCTCTTCTAAGAGAAATGCGAACAGCAAATTCCCTGAGTTGCAGGGAGAATTGGCCCACCACCCCATGTGCCAATTTTAGGCTTTTAAGAAGGCATTTTGCCAATAGGGACAGAAGCAAGCTGTTTGGAAAACAATCTTGTTTCCTCTCTCTCTCTCTCTCACTTTAAAATTTCTGCTGAATTTTTCTAAGTGGAGCAGAGTAGAAAGAGAAAGAGAGATCTCCGGTATTCTTAAGAGTTAGTGGAAATGTTCACATTCCGTCACAGCTGAAGAGCAGCACTTTAACCATCAGATCCATTTATTGTTATTTTTTGAAAAACAAAACAAAATCAAGACACTTGTGATGGTTGGCGACATCGGAATAATTGTTTTTCGACCTGTCAGTGAAGTCATCCTAATTGTGTTATAAGAAAAAGCAGAGACAGACGGTTTGAAATAATGCCCTGTATAACCAGGCCTTAGATCTTTCTTAGATCCTGCTGTTAAAACATGTCTAAATAAAATGCTAAAATGGCACTAAATATTTCTCTATACTGTAGATGATGTAATTGGAGTCTCTTTTCCAGTTTGCTTGATGCACAGTGGTGGTTCGGAGGCAGGTTTTCGGCTGAGAAAGTAAAAGCACTTTATTTACTGTGCAATTAAGTTATATTTCCCTCTGGACCAATCGTTGCAGGCTTTAATGGCTGCAAAAGGGGAATTGGCACCTTTAGGATCTATCAAAACTTTAGAGGCACTTAATGTTACCGGCTCTGGATAAATGACAGGAGGATTTTGTTTTTCCATCTGCTTCTGAGCTTCCCTGAAGCATCTGGATAGTTAAATGCTGACTTGCAAAGTAGAGTTTCCGGCAAGTTATTTTTCTAGCTTTGATATTTGGAGAGTTTGTGTTTGTGTTTGTGTGTGTGTGTGTGTGTTGAAAAGCATTCCTATATGTCCATGTGTGACAATGAAACTTATGGCAGTCTCTTGCTTATCCTGTTGCAATTTGGTTTCTGTCCCCTTGAAAATGTTTCGCTTCTCATCTGAGAAGCTTCTTTAGTTCTGCAGTTCATTTTACAGAATTCCGTTCATTCTGCAGAACTGAAGAAGCTCCTTGAATGAGAAGCGAAAAGTTTTCAAGGAAAAAAATATATCAAGAAAGGCCTGTTGCCTTTTGGAAAAGCTCCTTTGGGAAAATGTGGCTAAAGGTTTTGCTGAGAAATTGGAGAACTTCGTGAACATTTTCCAGGAGATGAGTCCAGAGCAGAAGTTCTCAAAGAAGGACACCCACCTTTAAAAAGTGGCAGTAAACTAGATTTAAGGAGCAGTAAAAATATTCCTCCCTAAGAATATTTTCAGAAACAGAATATTGGTATTCCAAATCATCATTTGATAAACAATTTTGTTCTTTTCTTGGAAAGCTGGAAGTATAAAATACTGAATCACTCAAAATAAATTACAGGAAATCCTCGAGTTACGACTGTAATGGAGCCTGGAGCTTTTAATCAAACCCATGGTTGATTAGGGGAGCAGTTTTGTCAAAAACCAGAAACAAGTGACAGTTTGGGGCAAAACTGCCATAAAATGCTGTCATGTGACTACAGGACACCTCTATCATCCATAAAGGTGGCCACGTTACCAAGCACCCAAAGTATGGTGATATGACTGGGTGGATGACCATCAAACTTTGAATGTTGGTTGTAAGTCTCCTTTTAACGTAACTTTTAATGCTTGCTAAGTGACCATTTATAAGTCAAGGACTACCTGTAATTGGTTTCAACAGACAGTATCGATAAAGTTATCCAAAATTTTCACCAACAAAGGGAAAAAATAACCCCAATATACTTTTTCATCAGCAGAATCTTGAGCCTTTAAGCTAAACAGATGATTTGCAGAAAGTGTTATTAATAAAGACTCAAAGTGCAAAAGCCACAGTTGCACTTGTAGCTGTTTTATATCCACACACAAAGGATTTAAAGAATACTTCTTAACCCCCGGAATGACCTTCCCCGGGTGATATTATGACAGGATGAAATATTGCGGTATATTTTGGGGACTTCAGAAAACTGTATAAAGATTAAGTGCTGGAGGGAGAGGAATTTGCATTCAAAGGCTGCCCAATTAATGGATATTTTGCATATCCCAAGCAATTTATTGCAAGTGTTCTGCTAAAAAGAAAAAAAAGATTTAATCTCTGAACAGAAAAGCTCTTTTTCCAAAGGAAAGATGATGTTGAAGAGAAATCTTTTCTCCCCAAGGGTTAAAACCCCCCCAATATGGTTCGATCTTAAGGATATAGGTTTTCTGCTTAAAAACCATGGGAGGCCACAAGGCATAGTTTTTTACAATTTTCAGCAAAAACATTGGTTGTGTGCAGTAGCAACGGGCTGACATTGGTGCCCTAGGAACATGGGTGCAGTTTTGCATTTTTTTTTACAAACCTGTTGTGATCGATCGATGTTAGAGGATTCCGGGAAGGAAGCCTGCTCTTCCTTTCTGAAATATTCCCATTGATTTGTTCCCCTTCTCCAATTCCCAGAGCCCCCTCCTCCTAGGAAACACACAGCCTTTGTATCAAAGTGGATATCAGGCCTAGGTATTAATGCAACTCTTAGATTGTGTTCCTTTGCCCCTGCGGCAGAGAAAGTGCCGTGTTCCCTGTCAAAAGATACTTGGGAGATTTATCCTTTCTAATTTCATTTTTAAATGTCAGCAAGCTAATGGCTTCGTTAGCATTCAGCTTGGGGAGGCATCTCATGGAGATCAGTAGAGCCAAAGAGGAAGATGGATTTACTCATCCAATAAAATCCCCATCGTGTCGCCACTTCCAAAAGGCCATTAGAAATCCATCCATCTGTAGAAATCCCCTGATTTGCATCCGGTCTTCAGCATTCGGAGAAAAGTTTAACCTTTCCTTCATGCTGACTCCTAGCTGGACAAGTTATTTTTCTTTTCTTCCTCTCTCTTACGAGAGAGAAAGCAGAGGTCATGTTCTGTAGGCTGTAGGGTTTTTTCCCTTTATGGATACTATCACAAGCACTTTGGATTTGGAGGTTCTATCAGGCCTATTCTGTCTCTGTGTCTGTCTCTCTCTCTCTCCTTCTCTGTCTCTCTCTTTGTCTCTCTGTCTCTCTCCTCTCTGTTTCTTTTTCTGACTCCCCTCTCTGTCTCTCTCTCTCCGTCTCTCTCTGACTCTGTCTCTCTCTCTCTTTGTCTTTCTGTCTGTCTCTCTGTTATTCTCTGTCTGTCTCTCTTTTTCTCTGACTGTCTGTCTCTGTCTCTCTCTGTCTCTCTCTCTCTCCATTACTTAGTAACTAAGGTGCTTACTTATTTGGCAGAAAGAATCAACTGCTGCTTTCTCCTTGACTGACCTGCTTGATGCTTCTCAACTTTTGGAAATTTAAATCTAAATCCACTCGTAGATCAGATACTGCCCTCTAGTGCACAGTTGTCTACAATTACAGAA